TAATTGTGCGTGTGATACTGCGCAATGTGTGGCACAGTATTTCACAAAATATAACGTTAAAAATAAAAATAAAAATGTTTTGATTTTCTCGTGACTTCCGCAGTAATTTGGTTTGGTTGGTCGGCAACGTGGGACCTCTATATCGGTCCTCATTTTACTATCTCACAGTGCATAATAAGTATTATGTATTGCATCCCATTTCTTTGTTTCTTTCTCTAAATGTTCTAATAAAAGGTCTTCTGCTCCTTTGTTCTGATATTCAATATTAAAGGCCCTTTCAGCAGCTTCTATAAACCATGTGATAATATACATTGAAAATCAAAAAGAATAGAAAAATGACAAAAATATATCAGAAAATTTAAATCATAATTTTTTATTACCAGTAACTATTTTACATCGTTCCACTTCATGATCATCATCTTCTATTAAATCTAAAATTTAATTCCAATGATTAACAAGTAGATACTCTTTTAAAATCAGAAAATGCTAAATAACAGAATTGTAAAAGATGGGTGGTATCACTTACCATGTTTGCCTATACCTAAAAAGTCATCAATAATATAGAAGTATTAAAGAACTTGTTAGTTAAAAACAGTATACTAAACGTTCTCTCAAATGAATAAATAAATAAACGAAATGGAATGAATGAAAAATAATTTTTTGTATATTTCTTTATGCAATTTGTTCATTACCTTCTCCTTTGCCAAATTCTATCAGTGCGTCTTGCAATTTTGCCACCTGGTTTTCCAACCTATCCCACCTCTCTCCCAACATCTTCTTCTCTTCTCCCAACATCTTTATTCTATCTTCGCACTTTTTCTTCTGTTCCTCATTTCTGAATTCTCCCTTATACAACTCTTCCTCCAACTCATTTAACCTCAACCCCTTATACTTCACCTCTCCCACTCCTCTAACTTCTCCTCTGCCATATCAAGTCTATTCTTTGCATCTTTAATTCTAGTTCTATTTTTCAATTAATTAAAAAAAAATTTTTTTTTAGATTTAGATTGTTACAATTAACTGTTTTTATGCATAATTTAGACAAATGATAAATTAGTGGGCATATGAATTGGAATTAATAAAAAAAATTTTTTATGGGCAATGGATTAAACAAAT